TTACGTGCACCCCTAGTTTTCTCTTCCTCTTCTCTAAAGCAGCACAGCATGGCCCTGCCCCTTTTGCTGCGTGTTCCCCGGAGTAACGCAATATTGTAATGCAATACTTTTAAAAGTAACTTTCCCCAACACTGATCCTGAAAGTTTGCTTGCTAAGTCACTGCCCTGTCTGCCCTCTTCCCCTGCAGCTGAAGCAGGAGGCCCAGCCGTTGCACCTGGCCTCTCACGCAGCTCACCATGTGAATCGCTGCCGCCTCCTAGAGGAAAAGAACAGAGCTCTTAAACTAGAGCTAGCCACTCTCAGACAGCAGAAACAGCAACACAGATCTCTGGTAAGTAGGTTTGTGGTGTGTTTTTGTTGCTTATTTGTTCAGTTCTTGGCAATAGTCACACTTCTGGATTTCAGCATGTTGTCTGAAACTCCTCTTCCCTGGTGAGAAGCTTAATGAGTGATCGCAACAGTTGTTTTCTGTAAGGTAAAATGCACAGGAAGTCCCTGAATCGTCTACTGTGTTACAAGTGGTGTGATGCTGAAGCTGTTGCCCTGGCAACAAGCCCACTGGTGAGGGAGGACAGGTTGGTAATGGAAAACTGACAGACCATAATAATGGCTTTTGTTATAAGCCTCAGTTGCAACAGATCAATTTTGTCCCGCTGAATGGAGATGGGAAGTGACATGCACAAATTTAACTGAGAGAAAGTTTGCTGTACTTTAGAGCATACTTTAGAATTTTACCGGAAATTAAGCAAAGTTTTTTAAGGGGATGAGTAAGTCTTCACTTACTCACCCCTCGTATTGTTCCAAACCTGTATGACTATCTTCCTTGCAACTCTGAAGGAGACTGATAATCTTCCCCTCCAGGGGGCTGTTCACCGTTGCAACCAGATTTTTCAGCGAATATCAGCATGATTTGTTGAAATCTGTCAGACCAGTTTTGTGAACTTTATTAACGGATTCATTTAAAAGATTGTACTCTAAAGAATGATTTGTTCATGAACCAGGCATCACAATATTTCTAATTAGAACTTTCCAAGGAGAGTTTGAGTGGATGTCAAGATTTTCTGTTATTAACAACTTACACTGCTGTTCAAAAATATGGGCTCAGCATTTTTTTTTAAAGACAAAGTTTTATTCAGCAAGTATTAATTAAATTAAATGATCAAAAGTGGCAGTAAAGACACCTAAATGTTACTAAAGATTTCTGTTTTGAATAAATAATAAATGCTGTTCTTTTACATTTCTGTTTAGCAAAGAATCCTGAAAAAGTATCATGGTTTCAACAAAAATATTAAGCAGCACATCTGTTTTCAACATTGATAATAATAAAAAATGTTTCTTGAGCATCAAAACAGCATGATTCCTGAAGGATGCGACACTGGAGACCTGAGTAATGGCTGCTAAAAAATTCAGCTGTGCTAACAAAGGAAAAAATTACATTTTTAAATATTTTCAAATTGAAAACAGCTATTTTAAATTGCAATAATTTATTATTTCAATAATTTATTATAACTTAAATTTCATAATACTGAGTCATAATATAAAGAGACTTCTTTGAGACACATTACAAAATTGTACCCCTTCTTTCGAACGGTAGTGTAAAAGTGCTTTTCACATAGAATCAGGGCAGTGCACAGACCTTTTGAGGGGCATGTGCTGAAACTGAAAAAGGGCACCCCCCCCCAATATATATATAGGGTTTCTTAGGTCTAAGAGTTTCTTTAGAAAGTAGAAAGTTCTTTAGTCCTTTTTTTAAAATCAAATGTAAATTCCTGTCTCAGTCACATGTTCTTGGTTAAATAAACATTACTTACACTACCAGAAAACAACAACAACAAATACAATTCTATTTTATATTTTTACATTAACAATGCAATCAATATTCTGTTTATTAAAGCCAAGTATGAATATCATCAAGTTTTTAAGCATTTTACATTTATTCCAAAATAATAACTCAAGGCAGTAACAATTTTTGAAGGAAAAAAAAAAACCACCATCACCAAAAAAAGGGCACTTCGGCGTGTAAGGGCAAAAGGGGCATGTGCTCTGCACAGGTTGAGCCCTACCTGTGCACGTGCCTGCATAGAATGATATCTTATGGCTTTAGCAGACTAAAAATATGGTGTATATACAAATTGAATGATATTATGCTTTTATGTTCCTTAACAGATAGTAGTTCTCTAACTGTAACAGCACCACAGAAGGTAATTCATACTATCAATAGTTTATTTAATAAATTGTATTATAAGTAGGCAGGGTCAACTATGTCTGTGTGAGTATTAAGAACACACTTGTGCATATTTTCAAATATTTTGAATTTGTGTGTTGCTTTGAAAATGTGTTAATTTAAACAAACTTTAGTAATAAACTTAACATAATGTTAGATTTTTTGTGTTTTTTAAGTCCTTAAATTGAAAGAGAGAGAGAAAGGAACGTCAAGGCTGGCATTGGTTCAGATTCAAAATGATCACACCTCTTCATTTATTAGCTTCAGTTGTGATAGTGGTGAACCAGACGAATATGCTGTGACAGTCGTTGCAGTGCGAGTCCTATGGCTGGTTGCCAGGCGACCGTCTCTGACGGACAGCGCAGAGAGTGAACCTGTGGTGAGGAATGACCTTCTGTCTCTAGAGAAAGTGTCTCACGCCTGCTGCTGCTTAGGAACCGCCCACCTCATCTCTATGGCACTGCCTGTCCTGTGGAGAAAGGAAGGCCGTGGAAAAGCCTGGCTGTAGTATAATTAGTTTCATGAATAACAGTCATGACTATAATGACAAAAGCAGATAATTAATACAGAGTAATAACAATCCGGAGAGAGGCCCATCTACTTAATTAGCTGAGCCAAAGTATGTCTCAGTAGAGAATTTAGATGAGTGAAAGGAGTACACAGTGTTTTTCTGTAAGGATGTTGCCAGTCAAGAGAGGGTTATATCAGAAGTGTTGGGCCCTGGCTTGGGTTGCCATGTCCTCTAATAGAATTAGACTGAGACAGTGATCTCTTAGCTGGGCCATGCTGCTTGCTTAACTGTATTTTCCTCTCCATTGCATCGACCGCTGGAGTCATTTGGAGCAGGAGGTCCATTCCATTCCAGATCCTTGTCTCAGTAGTTAGACCAGGACAGGAAGCATCAGCTCCAGCTGAATGTGTGCACACTGAGAGCTTGTCGTTAATTTCGTTAATTGCAATCTTGTGTTGAAATGTGAACGCGATATAACAAAGTGAACGTTTCAGGATGTAGGCTGATATTTGCTTGAGTGTCATATGAAATAAAAACAAATCCAAAGTTCTGTCATGAAACTCAAGATGGTGCAGTCTGATAGGTCTAACTCAATCTTATCTGACATAATGACATCGTTATCACATGGTGCAGCTGATTGGTTCTTTGTATCAGCAGCCAATGAGCTTGCTGCTGCTCAACATTCAAATATGCGGCTAGTGCTTGCTGTAGCAGTTGCAGCGCGGTTCAGACACCCTCCACCTTCCCTAGCTCCACCTGTATAGATCTGCTATGGGGTGATTCATATATATTATATATGAGGGTTATTTTATGTTATGTGCAGCAGCAGTATTTCTTACATGCTCACAGCAGCATGTTGTGGATGTATTGGCAGTAGCAAGTGTAGCGAACACATTAACACATTGTCATGTACATTACTATGCTAAACCCTCTGAGAGTTGTCATGATAGAACTGTAGAACATGATTGAACTGATTACATTTAATCATTTTATTAGATTATTGATGTTTTAAAATATTCATTTAGATGACAAAAAAAAAAAGAATGAAAATGTAATATTTATTTAAAAATAGGGTTTTTCACTTTCACTTTCACTTTCACTATTAAATATGCAATATAAACCGAAATTGATACTGATCAATTAAAATATCTTTAGTAACTGATGTGGTACCAATATCTAACCTAGTTATTCTTAAAGCCCACAGCATTATGTGGAAGTCATATATTATGAGCATGATTGGCCACAATAATATTCTGACCTCAGTTCTCTGAAAGCAATTTTCACAATTGATTTCTGCATGCCAGTTGCCAAAACAGAATGAATCACTGCCTGTAAACTAAAACCTGGGATTAATATTTATTCCTCTGCTGCTTGTAAATTCGCATTTTTAGAGTCGTGCCTCTGTGACTGTGTATGGAAGGGAGAGGAAAAACTACAAAACACCTTCAGGGAAGATATTCGAGTTTCTGGAGCGAATATCCCTTCTGCTGTTCCTCTAATTGAAGCATCCCGGAGAGATACATACAGTCAAGGGTTTAAAACTAACCAGGTCTCTGCTACATTCATATTAACATCAGTTGCGTAAGGGTATTTTCTATATTCAGTTAGATATTTGAGATTTTATGTAAAGAAAACAAATTTTCAACATGTGTAACCACAATAAACTAAGTTCAGCAAAATAACATTTTTGCAGCGTACTTGATGTATCTTACTAATGTCTGTCTTAAGTTATCCTCTGTAGAGAAGCTTCTATCAAGAACAAACTGTAGAAGTAAATGTAAATTGTAACTATCCTAACTCTCCCAGACCTCTCTGGAGAGTGACTCCTACACTGTTAACCTTTCTAAAGGTTAGAAGTCTAACCTTTTTTTAAAAAAGATTGAAGACTGAAGATGATTTCTAGACAACATTACAGCCATTTTTACCAACATGGACAGTGACCACTGAAGCTGTACAGTGACCCAGTGTAGTAAAAATACTTTTTGCTTCACCTTCCGATGGCAAGTGAATTGAAAATATTTCATACCATCAATGAAACTGCATTTTTTTTGTATTATTCCTTTTTTGGTATTATTTAGCTGTTTTTTTCTCTTGCCCATTAGTAACAGAGAGCAGAAGTCATTATTTTGAAACTACAGCTGCCACAAAACCATGATACGGTGTTAAGTTTTAATATTTAGTGTGCTTGTCTTCACTGTTTCTGTAATGTATATGCACTCCCTTTAACTGGAAATCTATATAGGCCACCCCATACATATGGAATCCCACAATTTTATCAGCGCTTTAAAAGCTTTGTGGTATGATACTTCGTATCCATTACACTTGCAGCTCTATTTCGATGCGGTGTGTAGATCTCCCTCTTAGAGCAAGCCGAAAGCCACATCCTGCATCATTTTATACCTAGTCATGTTTGCAAGCAGAGGTATCAGTCTGACTGCAGGGTTTCTCAGATGTGGGACTCCCTTAAAGCAGTGCTGATTACAGCAGACAGCGAAGGAAAGAGGACAGTACCTCTGAAGAAGGGTAACGCGAGCCTCTGTACATGATGTGACTTTGTGTGTCCTATTTATATAAAAAATACATTTATATAAAAAAT